AAAATGTTGAGGGTATTGCTCTACTGCAGGGGGGAGCCTTGAGCTGTGCGATCCATCATCAAACTCTCCCTGTCTCTTTCTTACACGCAACACACACATAGACACACACACACTTAACCAGCTTTCTGCATACTAAAACAGATATGGAAGGTCACAGTCAAAGACGTTTTTTGAGGATTTATTCTTCATCTGTATGAAGTGAGCTCAAAGGAAGGGTTTGTGTGTGTGCGCAAATGGATCTGCTTAGACTCTCAATTAAACTTATTGTCAATACAGTAATATCTTGGCTTACTTTATCATCTTCAAATATTGATCTATCATATTTCACATGCTTTACCTGTTCAGTTCTCTTTAACGGTTATCTGAAAAGACTTCATATATTAATGGATTCTGCTGTCACTACGCCCGGGGAATTTAGTAATCGCTTGTCGTTGTGATTGATCCACCACTTTCTAAAATGGAGACCGTAGAATGGAGCCCCGTGGGCCATGCTTAGCTAGGAGAGGAGGTAGAAATGACAACCGCAGCTGGAACTGTCACAGGAACAATGAATGTGATGGAGGGAGGGGACGCCGGTAGCAATTTGAAACCGTCGCTCTCATTTTGTCGTACAGTGGTATCAATGTCGGGGCAGCAACTTGCCTGAAGGAATAAAGTGAAACTCACACACACACACACACACACACACACACACACACACACACACACATACACTGGCTTTTCATTAGCAGCTATAGTGTGAAGCAATCATAGGTGTGCTTTTAATTTTCAAGGCAGCAATGGAGCAAAAGAGTGGCTGTTGGTACTTAGCTTCCATTTTGTTGATGGAGATATTCTGCCAGCATGTTATGTAAATCTGTCTGTAAAAGTTTCTCTGAAACCCCACAATGCAATGTCACAATAGGAAACTTCTCATTTATAACAAGTGAGAAAAGAAACACCCAGATGCTACCTGAGTAGAAATACGAAATGCTCAATATCAAGTACAAGTACTGCATTTTATATTTTACTGAAGTAAATATACGTAAGTATTTTTAGCTAAATGTACTTTTACATAAACAGTTAAATATAGCATACACATTTTGTGAAACTTGCTTATTTGCATTCTTCAGGAAATTTGTAGCTAAATATGAAGCTAAAGCAGGTGATTACCATAGTGTAGCTCAAATACTGGAACCAGGGGGAAATGGCCAGCCTGGAGTCTCCACTGGTCACCTGGCAGCCTGATGGTGGTGACAAGTTACTACTAAAACATACATGTTACTTAGTGAGCTTCAGTGGTATTGGCTGATTATTTTACTTTTAGTTCGAGCCAGCTGTTTCCAGTCTTCATACCAAGCTAAGCTAACCATCTCTTGGCATTAGCTTCATATTTAGTTCACCGATCGGAAAGTGCCATCAGATAGGACCGTTTGCATTTTTTCCGAGTTTTGTGGCCACTGTAGTTTCTCCTACACGCTTGGAACGCAAGTGGTGTTCAGTTAGTTGCAATCTGCAATTTTACAGCTAGATGCCACTAAATCCTACACACTGGTCCTTAGAGTATCCAGTTAAAAGTAGTAGTACACATGCAGAATGACAACTTTCATGGTGCAGAAACATTAAACATGTGTTATGTTACTGGATAATAATTATTACTGATGAGATTGTTGTGTAGTTTGAAGTGCGACGATGCATCATCTTGAAGTAGCTGTAGTTTTGTATGTAAGATGTTAACATGCCAAATAGTAACTTAAAGTAGTAAAACATGGGTTTCCCCTGGGCATTCCCAGGCCAGCCAAGCAGAAGTATGAGGCAGCTTATGAAATGTAAATAACTATACCCTGTGTTGAATGGTTGAGGAGTGACATGCATAAAACCGCAACATTAAAATTCACCGAGGAACCTTTGCATGCCATGACCCCGTCTATCCCTGTGTTTCCAGTCTCTCTATGCTTTTACCCCATCAAATAAAGGTTGATTATAGCGCTAATGCCATGTGTTGTAGCTAGTAATAGTTATGGACAGTATGATTTCAGTATCACTTTTTTGCAAAGTAATTAATTAATCCAAGTAATCAATTATAGAAAACAGTGAATTGCAGCTACACTATATGTCTATTTGCATTTGTATGCTTGCATCACTTGTTTATGTGACTTAAAGTCAAGGGAAGGAGAGCAGCCAAGGTTGGCCAGTGATTATCGACGCAGATTATCATCAAAGACATGATGGATGGCAGTGCTCTTTATGGATCACTTCACTCCATCAAACTCCATCCCTTCCTGCTCGGGGGTTTCCGGCAGGAACTTTGATAGTCAAGGTGGAAGTGGCACACAAAGTCGAATAGTTAATATTGTGTGTAATATTGCTCTGCTAGTGGGTTGCATCTGGTCGTGCACAGAGGTAAAAGCTGTATTGTTTATTGGGCTAAGAGTAATTATGTATTATAAATGTAAACTAATCATTTAAGTTTGCATAGTCATGGTTAAAGTTTTTATGGTTAGGGAAAGTTTGAGGCGATTGATTAACAATTATTTAGTGATAAACCAAGTTCACCAAATTTAACCAAAAAACACAAATGTCAATATCTTTGAAGCGCTAGGAGGAACGTCATTATGATTCATTGTCTGTGAACCATTCATATTGGCACATCTGCAACAGGTTGCTTGTCAGGAAAACGCTTCTTGTTTAAGACCATTCTGAGGATAATTTCTGCCTTAAATGTTTCTTGTGACACCAGACTCAAGTATTACAGCACTGCAGATGGTGAAATTTATTTTTCACTAAAACAAATCATCAAATCATGCTTTTTCTTTTTTTTTTTTTTTGGCGTGCGTGATAGCTTCATCACCTCACCTCATAATACAGTCATAATTACAAAAAGGAGGCCAGAGGAATGCACTTCATATTCAATGTCAGCCTCCCTCATTGTGCTCTGATCGTGGTCTGTTCCCTCTCACAGTTTCTTGGTGAGGTTGTAGGTCTTTTCAGCAGTGTTTTTATGGTCGAAGGCTTCTGGCTTCCACAACGTTGCTGGTTTTAATTCCGGCCAGTAACCTTTGTTGCATACCCCTACCCCTCTCTCTCTCTCTTCCTCTGCCTCCATCTGCCTCTGCCGACCAATAAAGGCGAAAAAATGCCAAAATAAAAAACCTCATCTCTACTGCTGTGAGAAAGTTCTTTGTCTGTCTTGTGCTGTTGGGAAGATATAATTGGATTATGGGAGGGTGAAGGAAAGCAACTCCTTGTGGTTTACTTTGGTCTTCTGGTGGCTGATAAACAGGAGCCACGCGAGAGGAAATTAACTTGTGGGGCAGGTCATACCTTTCTCCTTCCTTCTCTTTCTCCCCCCCTGTGTGTTTTCTCAGTTTGACAGAGCCAGACCACGCTCTCTGTGATTACAACTCATTAAACACCCTTCACGGACTTGTCTGGCTGGAATAAACAAATGGAAGGCTTAATCCAAAATAGATTGGCGAAAATGTGGCCATGGCTGAGGCGTGGAGGCATACGTAGGAGTTAGAAAAAAGTGCATGAATGTGGATGGAGTGACTGGTCTGCATGTAAAGGAAACAATGGCTGGAGCAATTACATGCAGTAGGAGGAGAGGTGCTGTGGAGGTAATTAGCTTAGGATAATTCTTCCAAATGAAAGTTGATCCAGCTGAGAAAATGAGCTACAATTGCTCTCGTAGGTGTAATGAGTTTTTCTGTCTGACAGAAATGTATAATGCACACCCTCCACTTTGTGCTAAAAAATACCTGAGGTCATATCTTGTATGGCAGCGTGGTGAGATTGTAGGTATTAGAATTCACATGTGTTTTATGTAGTCAGGTGTAATACTATAATGCAGTGGTGAATGGTAGTCAGCACTTTGCTCTGCTGACAGTGGAAGACAGTTCCTCCATGCATTTCTCATGTTGAACATAAAACAGTGGAACCGATTTATGAAACAAGTCTCCAACCATGAACATTTTTGTTGGATTTTGAAGGTGTAACTATACATGACATGCATTGGACTGATTTCCCAGACTGACGTAAAGTCGTGAACTGGTTCAAGAAATGGTTATGTTGTTGCTAAAACTAAGCATACGTTACCCAAGGATGCCCAATCATTTTACTTTATTAAAATGTTCAATTTATAAACTACCTGTGGTTCTGAATGTGCATCAAAACACACAGAAGGATTGGCCATCATGGGATACATGTGTCCTTGTTGGCAGAGGAAAACATGTTCCATAGTTGGGGCATCATGGGATATGTGAGACAGCATGACATCCCAGTCCCAACAGTATTTACCATATGTAACCACGATGACTATTTGTAGACAAAATCTCATAAAACTGTCAAAGAAAACTGAATTAAAGCTTTTTATTCCATTTTATTCTCTGTTTTCTTATACAGTGATATGTACTGTGTAGGCTACCTTGAAGTTTTAAGCTGGAAATAAAGACACTCTCCACATGAATGAGATTACTGAATCATTGTCAATAAATAACTCTGTTGCTAGATCAAAAGCTATTCATGAAATTACAAGGGAATTGAAAAGAAACAGCTTTGCTGTTCACGGTAAACAAGGGCAGGGATGAGAGACAGAATTATAGAGAATTTTATTTTGAAATGTGTGGCTGCAGAACGTTAAAGAGAAAAAAAATGGAAAATGATTCTCATCCAATGGTTTAATGGCAGCCTGGGACTAACACCGGTCATAATCAGTGCTTAGTTGAGGCTGGACTGACACAACCACTGCAGCAACTTCTGACAGCAGAAACATTTTACCACCACATTAGTGAACAGCTACAGAGACTATATGGGAATACATGCTATGATGATGATGATTGTGAATTAATGATATAAACTGTGGATTGATGATAATCAGCACATGCCTCCTGAACATTCTATCACCAGTTAATTATCTCTTTGTTTAGTGACAAAATTACAATTTGAATCAGATCTCTGAATATGTTTTTTTTAACAGTTAGGACATTTTCAAACCTGTCTGTTTTCTTCTCTCTCCTCAGCTCTCCTCCTTCTCTATGACGTCACGAACAAAGCATCCTTCGACAACATTCGGGTAAGAATTACCACACTTTGAATTGTGTATGTGCCATTTTTCCTCCTTTCTTCACTTCTTTGATATAATTCTCTGCTGTTTGTTTTCGTCTTGTGCCAACCCCCCAAAAAACCATTTCTTCGTACTATGGTGTCTTGTTCGCTGGTGAAAATAAATTGGAGGTCAACAGGCACATTGGTGCAGTGTCAACAGTAATGCAGGCATTGTACTGGACCACAGAGGTGAGGTAAACTGGACTTAAAGTAAAGTATTTCTGATTCTGACTTGTGAGATCACAAAATCACACAAGAATCCATCTTGCCAGGCTTTAAGCTTTGCCCTTGTATCCGAACCACAGTGGTTTAGACCTACGGCATGAGATATGGCTGTTGTTTAATGCTAGGTGTGTGTGACGACACGTTTGCTTGAAAACAATGGCGCCTGCTAAAGAAGCTATCTGTTTTATCAGAGTATTTCTTCATTGAAAGAAGAGCAAAGTTCGGCACTGAAAATGAAAGAGTTTGACTACGTTGTGATTTGTCGATCAGGCTACGGTTTGTCTGCGATAAACAATGATTGACAGATGGCTCTTCCAATCACCTGCCAAGCACTTTTTGAAAGTGCCTGCCCTCTTCCAAACTGTTTCCAACAACGACTTCCCACATGGTTCTGTGTAACAAACCATCAGTCAGGTTAGTGGTAAGGAGGTAGCTGAGCCTAAAGGTAGAGCTCTCAATTTACCCATCAACCTATGGTCATGGATTGTGACAGAAAGAATGAGATTGTGGATACAAGTGGCCAAAATGAGATCCCTCCTTAGGGTTGCTGGGTGCAGATATGGTAAAGAACTCAGACATGCAGAGGGAGTTCAGACTTGCCGCTCCTTAGCATCAAAAGGCATGTGATAGAATACATCCTTTGTATCTTCCTTTGGTGGCTTTTGGTCGCCTACAGTACAACTGGTACAGTAGGAGACCCCGTGGTACACCCACAACACGCTGGGGGGATTATATATCTCACCTGGCCTCCAGGAGAAAAGAGTTGCTGGGGAGAGGAACGTCTGTAAACCCTTGCTTAGCCTGCTGCCACTGTGTCCTGTCCCTGGTAAGAGGCGGAAAATTGAATGGAATGGCTATTTTGCATATTAACAAGATTCAGGAGTCTTTAGATTACACCCTAATTCACTCTATGTATCAGCAATAAATTGGCTGACCGTCTGAATCGAAGGGGGTAATGATTCTTGGACGCTTGAAATCACAGCTGGAGGAACAAACTTAATGCTTCTTGATGCTACTCGGTTGAATAACCATACTCACACCTTCACCCTTGAACGTTTAGATGAAGGTGCAGGCGAATAATGCTGCTTGTTTGAGGGTTCTGTAGATTTTGAGTGTGGCGCAGATGAGTGTAAAATCAAATCCTGTATTGTATTGAATGCTTCCTCCTTCATATAAACAAAGTTGAAACATAATTGGATTGAACAAGTTAGGATAGTATTCATGGAAAGTCCCTTGTCCCCTGAAAATAGGCAGTTAAACAGAAGCCCTAGAAGTGAATCGCAGCGGTGCCCATTAGCTCATGCTCGCAGCAGGGATCGGGTGATGAGCGATGAGCGATGAGGACAGTGAGAGAGGATGACCACGGTGGCAACAAATGAAGCGAGGTGACAAAACTGAAGAACACGGGGGTGCAGATTAGAGCTCACTTTTTTTCCCAAATGGGCCCATCTCTTTGTAGTCACAGCATGTCTCTCCTCTGCACTCGGCTCCCACTGTGATTTTTTCCAGCCATCTCCTGTCCCATTTGCTGCCACTCCCCACAACCCTTGTAGGTGCATTATTCTCCTTTTGATTAAGAGCAGAATAAGGCCATTATAAAACTGTGTCTTACACATCAAGGAGAAGAATGGATCCTTAGCCATCTGGCTGGTCTGATGCATTTACACCTGGAATCTATTTGTGTGTGGGTGAGTTTGTTCGTGTGTGGGGTGTCTGTATGACCTGAATGTGCATGTGCGTTCAGGGGTGTGTGTGTGTGTGTGTGTGTGTGTGTGTGTAGGTTTGCAAATGCCTTCATTAACAGAGGATGGAGAGCAGTCCCTGGAGAGAAACAGACACAGCTCAGCCTCTCCAAACAGCTGGTTACCCTCATTATGCTTTTAATAGTTTGCATGAAATCACTCTATCAGGTATTTGAAGCCTTGGATCTAATGATGATGAAAAACAAGCAAGGGACAGACAAGGGAGGAGGAGAGATGATATAAAGGGATGAGTTGACATAAAGTACAAGGTTGGTGATATTCTGTGTTATTTATTGACAACATATCCCATGGAAAGACGAAAACCAACAATGTGTTAGTCTCTCAGTACTTTCCAACTTCAGCATCCAGTCTGTCGCACTCGGGCCAATCCTTCCTGCGCCTACTATAGACATAAATCTGTAATATAGAATACATTACAGCACCTCGCCTGATCACACACAATCTCATATTACACATAAACAGCGCACTAAAATATGTTTCTGAAACAATTTTAAGTGAGAAATAGGCAACACAGCAACATTATTTTCATTCATATTTGAGGAGCACTGCCTAGTTTGACAATTTGATTTGAGGTTTGTGCAGTGTGCTGAACTGAGAACAACTTTTCAATCACAGGGTAGCCACACATTAAAGTATACCCTGCTTTATCACCTATTTTACTCTAAATTGGACCATCATTTACTAAATGAACATCATGCTGTATGGAAAGAGACTTGAAACTAGCAATTGTGACCATAACCTCATTAGGAAACCATTTACTGAGCTAATAAATCAAGTGAGACGTAATCATTTTCTCAGACTCCATACTATCAGACTTATTTATTTTGTAGCCAATGGCGCTGCCCCCTGCTGGCTATTAGGAAGAATGCAGAGTCAAGACACTTCCACGATGGCTTCACTTCACAAACCTGGAAACTGTATAAACTGTCAATGGTTGGGGACTATTTTCAGCTGTGGATGGATACACATTTGGTATATTAGTAAGTATTTTCAGCAGCAGGGCGGTGTGGGATTGAGTAAAAAAAACTATAGCGTCTGTGTGTGTTCATGGTGATGAAGGAACATGTCACCCAGTGCTACAGTGTGCTCGTAGATGTGTATTTTATAGTTTTTGGTCACAATGGAGCTTTATGCTACAGAGGAATATGATATATCAGGCTTTGACTATGCTGACACTTGTTAGTATGTTCAATTTATTATTGCTTGCTTTTTTATTTTGATGGGATATGTATAATAGTATAACAGTAAGAAAATATATAGACTGTCACCAGTGTTATCCTTTGATATAACACAAAAGTGATTCTTTAGATGCGTCAAGTCTTATATCTAAAAAAACAAATTTGGCATAGGCCTATGTGTACAATTTATATTGTAGTGTTAGCAGCCATATGGATTGCTGTGGCTTTGAGAATGCACACGCAGCAAGGTGCAACCCACTGTGAGCTTCAGTGCAGGTCAATGAAAATGAACAGTGTCACACAGCTCTTCTCCATCACACCATGCTTTATTCACTAAACATTTTCAGCTATCTTGCCTTCATCATCTGAGGTTCTTTCCAGTCACACAGCCCTAAATATAAACCCTTTGTAGTCATTTAAATAAATACATTATATCAAATCTAAATGACCATAAATGCAGAATATGCAGTATTACAACCAACCTTTTAAAACATTCTCTACTAAGTAAAATCTTTCATCTAATGCCATTAATGGGAAAACAGTTTGAATCTTCATTTTGCAATACAAACCAGCAAATGATGTGCTCTTTTATCAGTGTGCAAATCTCTTCCATCTCTTAATATTGACTGACTAAAGCTTTTAGCCTTGGAAAATAAAAAGTGAGTGCTTCAAATGTCTGTATTGCTGCCACTGTTAACACATAAAAGCAATAATAGTACAAGTATGTGCTATGGTTTACAATGCCAATTTCTAAAACAGGCTATCAGTTTTAAATGTCTCCAAGCCAAGACAACTTTAATGGACATCTTTGCTGTTATTTTCTTGACTTGCCAGAGGTCCTCTGGAGCCACAGAAGACATAATGAGTAGTACAAGTTAATTGACTTTGACATGGAGAATCTGTGCCCCTTTTTATTTCACAGTCATACACAATAGAGATATAAAATACTGAATGAGACACACCATCCTGTGTTCACACCATCGGAATTCAGTAGAAGATTAAGCTTCTTTTTATTTCTTATTTCAAATGGATGGAACACAAAATTGTAGTATGAACTTGTCTTTAAAGTTCTTTGCCTTGGTGCACCGCATAGTCCATCCTGTGTTATCCACAGTGTTATGAGCTTGTTGCCTTGCAGAATGGGATGACTCGATGACTTTCCTGAGAACCGCGGGAGCATTTCCAATCACACTGCCAGGTATTCCTGGAGCAATCATAGAGCACAGGAACAGGAGTGTAGAGTTGAAATCAGAAAGCTTTTGTTAAAACTGGAATTGGGGATTGAACTATGAAAGATGACGTATATGGAGCATGTACCTGTAGGACATGATTGCACAGGGTCCTGATGTATTTTTTGCTTCAATTGAAATTATGATGCAGTAGCATTGTGCCTGTATTGTCTGTGTATTACTTCACGTTTGTTGGAATTTGGACTGAGAAGACAAATCTTCCTCATCCTGACATGATTTGTGTCTAAATTATACAGCGAGACAGAAATGGGTCTCCTCCAATGTCCATTTGATCATCTGTTTTTGTCATATGTAGAGTATTTATCATATCATACATGTATAAACCATCTGCCCTGCACTTACTGTAGAGATTTCTCCACGTATGCGGATGATAGCCTCTTAGCATAAGCATGAAAAACAGCTCTACGCCAGAGCAGATGCAAACTCAGTGGGAGGCTAGTGGACAGTTTCTCCGTCTCTCCCTGTGTGTGTGTGTGTGTGTGTGTGTGTGTGTGTGTGTGTGTGTGTGTGTGTGTGTGTGTGTGTGTGTGTGTGGTGAAAATACAATACAGG